CGTCTTTGAGACGACCAACTCGTCTGTCTGTGAGGGGCCTTTTAGGCCAAAGTTGAATACAGTCGTGACTTAACATTCCAACTCTTAACATTCCGAAAACCTTGCTATCCGACAGGTTTTTAGGGAAAACGGACGGAACCTATAAAAAATAACCTTAACATACCAACAGCCTTGGATACCGTCTCCGAGATGAGATTTTATGTCACAAATAAGGATAATGGCATATTATCTGTCTTAACAATCCAACAGCTTTACTTACTTTTGATGTCAACCGACAGGCCTGTGCACAAGCGCACTGGTCAGCTAGGCGTGAAATCCAGCAATGTTTAGTGTTCTAACAATACACTAGTCCCACTCATTGAGTGAGTTTGCCCTACTAATTAAGTCGGTTTGCATCAGTTGTGACAATGTGACATATTATGACACCATAACAATATCATATACGTAGATAGTTTATCATAACAACTATAAACGATGAATATTAACAACAGATTAGCCTTCAAGCATCAAGCCCTCCTTGTATCTTCACCTCTGTCTTGACAGTCCAACAGCCTTGCCCTATCTAACATAAAAGAACGTATTACATTTAGTGTCGGATTATCAAGTCACAACTGTGCTTTACTTGTACATGCATTCATACAGATGTGTATGTGAGGCTGAGTGTCTGATCACACACAAACACACTCAGCCTCACACAGAAAACTATTTTTAGCCCACAAGTACACACAAACTCTTGACTTGTATATATGTGGATCAGTCAGTGTCATTTCAGATAATGGGGTAATTCCATCACATATCATTGGAGTTATTAGGACAATTCTGCTCGACCGTCTCTGTTTTGCTGTAAATTATTAGAACACAAAATACGGATATTTAAAATTTGATTTGTAAAATTTTGGCTTTAAATATGAAATATTTTCAGAGATAATATTCTTGAAACAGACACCTCAGTCAATGCACTTTCAGCAAATTTTCTTGCTCATTAAATTTTGGGGCAAAGTTTGAATGACAACATGTCAGGAGCTTTCATCCAAACACAGCCTCAGATGTAATTGTGCAGAAAAATTTGATGACGGTATTTTAAACAAAATTGTATCGTGAGAGATTACTTGATATATCAAAATAAAATTTCAATTTCAATTTTAAATGACCACGTTACATAATATGAAAGTTTCAAGACCATTGGAGATGTTTGAGCAGGAGGGCCGTGATGATTTGAGATGGAATGACTCATGTATGAGTGAATTTGAGTCTGAATATGAAATACTTGAAGAAAAGTTGTTTTGTTCAACTTCCAAACCACAAAATGAAAAAGATCAATATTTTGTAGACGTGTGTTTAAGATGAGACTTTTCATGACTGCATAAATTTTGCGTCATATTTTAGAGATTCAGAAAAAAG